TTAAAGCAACATAATTCCTAGAAATTTGGTGGGAGAGAGTGATAAGAGTTCAGAGACTCTGCTGGAGCCAAAATGGTGTTTTGGGAGCCTTAGCAAGACCACCCCATCACTGACTGGACTGTTCAAACCCTTTTTTTTTTTGTTATGGAATAATGGTCTGTGGGAAAATGGCCTGTGCATGATTTGTTTTTGTAAAAATGGTAACCTGAGAGAACCTGTCACGTGACTGTCACAAAACTCCCCAGAATGAATATCAGGAAAGTTTTTGACATTTCTGAGTGCAGGGTGGTTGGGAATTTCTTTCGATACCCTTTCTAGCTAGAATGAAAAACTGCTTATCTGTGTGCTCTCTGTACATGCAGTGTTTTCCTCTGTACCATTCAATTCAGGATCACGTATTGGCGCTTAATATCAGCTTGCTTTGTATTTCTTTAGTCTGGGACAGTTATCCTTTTGCTTTTCTCAGCATTGACATTTTGGAAGAATAATGACCAGTTATTTGTTTTAGAATATCTTTTGATTGTATGTCTTTCTCTGGTGTTTCCTCATGGTGTGATTTGGGGTTTGTTTTTGTGTTGTTTTGGCTGTTACTGTATAAGTGATGACTTCTTCTGGGGTTGTCACTAGGAGGCCCAGAACACTTGTTTGCCCCTATTGGTGATGTTAACCTTGGTAATTTGGTTGAAGTATTGTGTGGTCTGTCCACTGTACTTTTTCCTTTTGCAACAAAGGAGAATTTTGTGAGGGAAGTTCTTGAAGTAAATATCTTGTGAGTATTCTGTTATTCATCACCACCTTCACCACCCCTCATTTAGCATCCAGTGAAGATTCTTGTTTGAATCTTTTTACCATGATGGTTACAAAAGAATTTTTTTTAACTTACTAAGATTTATTATTTATTTGAGAGAGAGTTGAGAGCATGTGCCAGGGTGGGGAGGGGCAGAGGGAGAGGGAAAGAGAATCTCAGGTGGACTCCACTGAGTGGGGCTCAGTCTCACAATCCTAAGATCACGACCTGGGCCAAAACCTAGAGTCAGATAGATAGATAGATATAGATATATATAGATACATATATAAAGATTTTTATTTATTTATTTGAGAGATCACAAGTAGTCAGAGAGGCAGGGAGAGGAAGAAGCAGGCTCCCTGCTGAGCAGAGAGCCCGATGCAGGACTCGATCCCAGGACCCTGGGATCATGACCTGAGCCGAAGGCAGAGGCTTTAACCCACTGAGCCACCCAGGCACCCCTGGAGTCAGATATTTAACCCGCTGTGCCACCCAGGCGCCCCAGAATGGTTTTTGGTTTTGACTCCATCATGCTTTCTATATTTGCTGGGTCTGCTGAAAGAGCCTTCCCTTAGTCCCCATTTATTCATTCATTTATTGTCAGTATAGGCTCATGGGTTTCTGTTTCATTAAATGGGTTATAATCTGTTACTGTTATTATTTTGATTGATTTATCCCAAATTTGTCCAGAAGCTGACTTCTTTTGTGTCTTTTGGTGTCCTTGGCCATTTGTGGGGAGCACATCCTTAATCTTCTGGAATAAGATGTTTGTTGCAGGCTCATCTTTTACCTTCCCTAACCCAGCTCTGGAATCAGCCATTTCTTCAGGTAGCCTTGGTTTCTTTTTGGTTGAGAGTAGAAGTTAAAATCCAAGATCCAGGTACTGTTTAGTATTTTAAAAGTCTTAGTTTAACTTGTGGAGATCTGTCTCCAAGAGGCTGTGTGCTTAATAGTACCAGAAATTTCCATTCATGTGGCACCTAGGTGGCATAGTGGATTAAGTATCCCACTCTCGGTTTCAGCTCAGCTCAGGTCAGGTCATGATCTCAGGGTTGTGAGATCAAGCCCCATGTCAGCCTCTGCACTTGTTGTGAGGGGGAGGTCTGCCTGAAGGTTCTCTCCCTTGGCCCCTATTCCCTACCCCCACTCTCTCAAGTACATGCTCTCTCTTTCTCTCTCTAAAATAAATAAATAACTTAAAGGGGGAGGAAAAAAAGTAGTACCAGAAACTTCCATTCATTGCATGCTTATTCTGTACGAAGCACTATGCTAGTGTTTTTTTGTTTTTGTTTTTGTTTTTGTTTTTTAAAAGATTTTACTTACTTATTTGACATACAGAGATCACAGGTAGGCAGAGGGGAGGGGAGAAGCAGGCTCCCTGCTGAGCAGAGAGCCCCATGCGGGCTGGGATCCCAGGGATCCCAGGACCATGAGATCATGACCCGAGCTGGAGGCAGAGGCTTTGACCCACTGAGCCACCCAGGCGCCCCTATGCTAGTGTTTTTTATGTACAATAGATCTTTCAGTTATCACAGGACCTCTCTGATGACAAACTTCAGATGACCAGGGTGACCAAGCATGGAAGGAGTGGATCTAAACCCAAGTCTCTGGGTCTCAAATCTCTGATCTTAACCATCATCTCTGAAGATGAGGTGTATAGTAAACCTGCTAGGTCCTGTTGATTCTAGAATTGTCAGACCCTCACTCTATCAGATTTCAGACAAGAAGATGAGTAGAAAAAAGAGGGAGGCTCTGTTATTAATGGTAAGGCAGGGGAGAATAAGGGAGGGGACCAGATGTTTGTTGAGCCCTTGCTGTGTGCCCCGCAACAGGATGTTGTGATTGATGATCCCAGAGCACCCCAACATTGCTTTACAGCCCTGGAGTTAGTCCTCTCTTGGCCCTGGATGTGTGAGGAAACTCCCACAGTTTTGATTGTATTAAGGTGTTCTCTCTCCCCCAAGATGTCATTTCAGTTGGGCACCTGGTTTATGCCACCTATGTTTCATTATGGCTATTTGGGAAAGTTGAATAAAGTGGGTGTTCCCACCTGACATCTCTGAAACCTAGTTCACTCAAGTTGTTGCCTTTGGCTTATGATGCAGACATAGCTTGGGCCTATTAACAAGCTGTACGGGTGGGCGGGCCTGTGGGGCTTTATACCCAGCACAGCCATTTCTCTGCTGGTGCTGCGAGGGAGTGCATGAGCACAGCAGCCGACCTGGTCATTCTTAGGGTTGTCATAGGAGTCAGTTGATGCTGGACCCTTTCATGCTCCAGCCAGGACACTTCCATTTGTGGACACAGTTTGTCTTGTTGGTCATACTGCACACCCTCTGTCAGGGATTCTCAAAGTGGGTTGGGGAGGTTGTAGGAGAGGAAGGGGTGAGATGTACTGGACTGTGCTGGAGAAATAGCTTAGCAGTAGCACAGCCTCCAAAATAGATGTCTTGGTGGTCATTTAGATTCATTGTTTACTGCTCTTCTAATATATACTCGATAATAGGGACAGCATTTAGACATATTTGTCTCATTTAATTTGTTCCTTTACTGTTTAAGGAAGTAAGTGGTGATCTGATGTATGGTTTCAGAATGTGGGTTTAGGGTTAGACCTGAGTTCATAGTGATTTGTAGCATTGTGTGATTTATAGGAGTTATGACACGAAATTGCCTGGGATGCTAATAAGTGCTCAGTAAAAGTTGGCTTTGTTAATCATACTTCTTGTTCAGTTGTGGCACCAGAGGTTATGGTATTTGGTTTTTGTTGTTGTTTTGTTTTGTTTTGTTTTTTGGTGAGAGAGAGAGAGCACAAGCAGGGGAGGGCAGAGGGACAAGCAGACTCCCTGCTGGATGCGGAGCCCAATGCTGGGCTTGATCCCAGGACCCCAAGATCATGATCTGTGCCAAAGTCAGATACTTAACTGATTGAGCCACCCAGGCACCCCCAGAGGTTATGGCATTCTTCGAGGCAAGAACAGGATGGCAAGGATATAGAACCTGTGTGGAAATTTAAGATACTGGGGATGTTGAGCCTGGAACAGAAGATTTTTGGGAATCTAGAGCCCTGTAACCCTGAGGGTGGAACAGGGGCAGTGGGTTGAAGCTCTATGAACTGTTCCACCTGCATGTTTAGATTTAGTGAGGATGGCCCTGGAGTGTTGTTAGTCTTTCGGCAAACCAGGTGCTCAAGCAGAGGCTGGGTGGCCAGTTAGCTCTTGGAAGAAAAGAATGAGTATAAAGTGGCAACAAGCCAGTTAGGGATCTGGGGAGACAACACCGCTCTACAATGTGGACTTTGACCTATTCTGAATAAATTATATTCTCTTTCATCCAGAAGACTCAAAATAAGCTACTTTTTGTGGTAAATATGGTCCCTGTTGAGGTCTGCACTAGCAGGTTTGCGTCCCCTGCTATGCCAAGGCGTCTGCTGGTCGGTCTCACCTCGAGGATCCCTGTCTCTCCATCCCACAGTTTAGCTATGTTGGCATATTGATCTTTCCAAAGTGCTACCCTGATCCTGTCCACTCTCCCTCTGTCCACAAGTGAGTGACCCCATAATCTCCCAAGGTGGTAACTTTGTCCCCTCTCTCAATTGTTCTGCTCCAGTCCTTGTATCCTATAGGTTCGTGCCCAAGTGTCCTGTCAGTGCAGGCTCTTGCCTCACACGATCCCAATATTCTGAGCCCTTCGTACAGGCGCTGCTGCTTGTACTTCTCAGTCCCTGGTCATTGAAGCTAGAGGGGCTCTGGTGCATACTCATGACCTTCATGGTGCCTTTTCTGTGTGTGCTAGACAGATGCAGGACAGGACATAGTTTGGACAAGTGGTTCAAAGCTGTTTCATTAGAGTTTTTCACCACTGAGAACTCTTCACATGCTGGCAAGGGAGGCAGTATGGCAGTTAGGGCTCTGGAGTCAGGCCAGCTGGATTTGAATCTGCATCCTTTCATTCTGGCTGTTGGACTTTGGACAAGTGCTTTAGGGTTTTTTGTTTTGTTTTGTTTTTATCTGTAAAAGATGGAAATGCCCATAACCTATCCTGAAGGTGCTGTGAGGACCAAGTATGTTAAGTGCTTTGCCGGCTTCTTTATTTCATGATGTTAGTTTGTGCAATTCTGGACTTCCCCTACCACCAACCAAGGCTCCCCCGTTGTGTGTCCTTGTTCTCTGTTGGTGCTGTTGCCCCGATTGATGAGCTGGTGATTCCCTTCCAGATGTCCAACATCACAGTCACATACAGAGATGGCCGAGTGGCACAGCTGGAACAGGTGTACATCCGTGGCAGCAAGATCCGTTTTCTCATTTTGCCTGACATGCTGAAAAATGCACCCATGTTAAAGAGCATGAAAAATAAAAACCAAGGCTCAGGGGCTGGCCGGGGAAAAGCTGCTATTCTGAAGGCCCAAGGTATGTGCTCCTCTTGCACTGGTTTTAATGTGTTTGTCCTCTATCTTTTAGGGAAGGGCGGGCCCTGTCAATTGCCTGGGCCTGGGGGTGGACTTGGACTTCAGCCATCTCCACACTCACTGCCACCCTACAGCCTTGGGGCCCCCACATGTGAGGGGCTGACGGCCTGATCTTACCTTCTGTCTCGTGTCGTGCCTGATCACATTCATAGGGCTTATGCAAAATCCAAGGTGCCTCCTTCGAAAGAAGAAGGGGACTCTTAAGTGAGAGACTGGAGAAGTCTCCTATAATGACTTTGTTTCCAGGAATTCTGTCCAAAGATTCTGGGGGAGCCTTGCTCTTACTAGTTTGCTGAGCAGGAGCTCTGTGGTGGGGCTTAGCTGACACCTGAAGCAGTGGGGCAACAGTTTGCAGAGAGCTCGGGGTGTTTATTGACACCCAGTATAAGTGGGGGGGGGAATGCTGACGGTAGGGATCCATTTTCATGTAAGAAATAAACAGTTTTAAGCCATCTTTACCCATTAAAGGGACCAGACTTCTGTTTTCTAATATTCTTACATTTGAAAATAAATCCTTCCTTCAGCATGTCCGCACTGATCCAGTGACCTTCCTTAGTCTGGCCTTTCTTTTGGGTTAGCCTAGTCAGAGGTTTTATCTTTGGGTCCCCGAGAAGCTCTGCTGTGTTGATTATCTAGGAAGCAAGTGCATTCATTAGAAACTATCTGAGTATCGGTAAAAAGATTTATGGTGCAGGAAAGTCACTGGATTCTCCATCAGCATCTTTTGTTGTGCATATTTTATATATGAGGTAGTTTTTGAGTTTAAAGGTGCAATAGAGTAATCCTTTATTATTATTATTATTATTATTTATTTAAAGATTTTATTTATTTATTTGACAGACACATCACAAGTAGGCAGAGAGGCAGGCAGAGAGAGAGGGGGAAACAGGCTCCCTGCTGAGCAGAGAGCCTGATGTGGGGCTCGATCCCAGTACCCTGGAATCATGACCTGAGCTGAAGGCAGAGGCTTAATGCACTGAGCCACCCAGGTGCCCCTAGAGTAATCCTTTAAGTGTCCTTCCAAAAAACTGATCAGAGAATCTCCTTGCCCTTCCTAGGTAGGTGGCATTTGTAGAACGGAAGCTCTGGACTTTTTGTCCTGGTGAAGGAATGATTTTCAGGAATACTGGTTTTCCTACTAGAACTGCTTTTCTCTCTGCTTTCTCAGGGAAGGGCTGTCCTCATTGTCACTGCGTAACTGCACCATCTTCTCTGACAAAAGATGCAACCCAGTAGCCTGTGCACTAGAAGGCACTTGGCAGTTAGTTTGCCCAGGTCCACTGGCCTCTGCCTGAGCTATCTGTATCTCTGCCGGTCCCTTGCTCTGGTTCATTTCAGTATGTGGCTGGGCTCCTGCGTGACTTTCCTCCCTCTTCATGAGGCTCTACAAGAGGGAAGAGGAATCAGTCTCCAGTTAGTAGGCATCAGAATATTTTCATCTGTCCTTCAAAGCCACTGGTCCTCTCTTAGAACTCTTGGAGTTACAGAGAACAGCAGCTTGTATGTCCTATGTATGGGGAGTGGTTTTATTTGTTTGTTTGCTTTTCTATTATGAAGCATTTTTTATTGCAGAATACCTCAAAAAATAAGAAAACCTGTTACCCAGATTTAACAGATGTTTAGTATTTAACTATTTGTTTCAGGATTTTAAGTGTGAATTAAGTTCATCTGTTTTGTTTTATTAACTCACCCTAGGCCAGTGCTGGGAATTCATCTTTTCTGTGGTTCTCAGGCCTGTTCCCCAAACCACCTAAGCTCTCAACACCCTGACTCCCAGCCTCATGTTGAAATCAGTGCTGGACTGGAAGGCACTCCAGCTCTCGTTCCCCTGCAATGAGGAAATGTCATGGGGTTGGCATGGTATTGGACCAGGTGGCTTTTCAGGCCTCTTTTGTGCCAGTGTCCAAGGACCCTGGCTGCTCCGTGCCATGAGCATTTGCTAACCACACTGACCTGGCCTTTTCCTTTCTTTCCACCTTTCAGTGGCTGCAAGAGGAAGAGGACGTGGAATGGGGCGTGGAAACATCTTCCAGAAACGAAGATAAATTTATCTGTTGAACAGAACTTTGCCGTTATTTTTTCTTTTAGGTTATCTGTGTTCAGGGGGGTGTGTGCTTATGTATATGTTCTAGCTTTTCTTTTGACATCTTTCTCTTTAGATCAGGGGAAATGTTAAACTAAATAAATATGGTGGTCCTTCTTGTTGTTGTTTTTCTTTTCTTTTCTTTTTTTAAAGATTATTTATTTATTTATTTGACAGACAGAGATCACAAGTAGGCAGAGAGGCAGGCAGAGAGAGAGGGGGAAACAGGTTCCCCGCTGAGCAGAGAGCTCGATGTGGGGCTCGATCTCAGGACCCTGAGATCATGACCTGAGCCGAAGGCAGAGGCTTTAACCCACTGAGCCACCCAGGCGCCCCTTTTTTTTAAGATTTATGTATTTGAGAGAGAGCGTGCTGGGGGTGGGGGTGGAGCAGAGGGAGAGAGAAACCCAAGCAGACTCCATGCTGAGTGCTGAGCAGGATGCCAGGCTCAGTCTCATGACGCTGAGATCACAACCTGAGCCAAAACCAAGAATCAGACGCTTAAACGACTGCGCCACCCAGGTGCCTCTGTTGTTTTTCTTTTTGAAGAAATAAGGACTGTGTGTTCATTTTGGAGTTTGGTGTTCTGTTTGCTTTGGCAGCGGGTTAAATTTTGACACCCAGGAAGATATCCTGGGAGAATGCCAGTACTTTGAAATAGCACAGTTACTGGTAAGAGTTTAAGCTACTGTTTGAGGCCAGTTGCTGGTTAAACCCTCGGAGAAACTCCAAGAACACACAAATGTGGAGATACCATCAGCTCAGCATAAGCAACATGGCATGGGTGCTCCTGGCCCGTGAAAAAGTCCACCATTCTGATCTTCGTAGCCTGGAAACCCTAGTGGCTCAGCATCTGGCAAAAGTAATCTAAGCAGCCAACACCTGTGGCTCCTGCACTGGCTTATGAAGTTCTGTGGTGATTTGCGGGGACAGATTCTTAGGCATTTGTCAGAGCATCTCAACATGCAGTGGCATGGTCCTGGCTTTTAATTAGCAGAGGTAGAGAGGACGAGGCACGCAAAGTGAATAACTGACAAAAACACAGAAAGTAGAAAAGCAGACTTGAAGTCATGCACTGAAAACAGGTCTTGCCACAGGTTCAGTATAGGATGAACTTCAGTAAAAACTATTAAGAAAAGGGATTGATTACCTTAGAACGTCGCACATGGGACACACTGTTCAAGTAATAAAAGAAGAAAGTCCAACACATCTGTTAACTAGGCATCAAGTAGGGATTTTCTAACAAGCTTTGCTTTACAATCATGACCCTACCTCAGTGTAACAGACCTTGCATTTTTCTTGAAATAAAGAACTAAGGCATAGGCATCAGAGTGTTGGTCAGATACTGCAGCCACGTAAGTAAGGCTTCAGAGACCCATCCCCCAGCGCAATCCCTGTACCTCTTGCTCCAGCAGCCCCAGCTCCTCTGACATTTGGACGAATGCTAATGGCCCTGCAGGCTCTGCTTCCCCGGTGGAGGGGCTCCTGGACTGGGCACTATTTCCAATGAACTTCGTGTGAATGGAGTTAAGAGTTCGTTTGTTTAAGGTTTGACCAAGAGTTAATGTATTGTTCCTGATAAGAAAAAGACTTGTACATTGAGTTACATAGGGAGTGGAATCTCTCTGAAGTGTTTTAAATGATTCAGGAAGACACTGTGATACCCACTACCCTGCATGGATTCCTTTCCCTCTTCTCTGCCTGTGACTGTGACTTACAGGCATTGATTTATTGACTTATTAATGAACACTATTGAGTTACTCGTATAGTGAGTGACAACAGTAGTTTTCAACATCGGTTTATGGACCTTGTTAGAAATGCAGATTCTAAGGCCCTACCCCTAGAGATTGCGGATTAATTGGTCTGGGGCTGGGCCCAGGAATCTGCATTTTAAGCAATGCCCTTGCCACCCAAGCTAGGTAGATCTGATTTAGTAGATCTGTGGCCACATTTTTTTTTAAAAGATTTTATTTATTTATTTGACAGAAATCACAAGTAGGCAGAGAGAGAGAAGGGGAAGCAGGCTCCCTACCGAGCAGAGAGCCCGATTCGGGACTCGATCCCAGGACCCTGAGATCATGACCTGAGCCGAAAGCAGAGGCTTAACCCACTGAGCCACCCAGGTGTCCCTGTGGCCACATTTTGATATCCCGGATTGTTCGAAAATGTTATGCTAGTATGGTCACTGCTTAAATCATCATACTTTTCTAGTAAACAAGACTTAAGTAACACATTATACTTCACACATGAATTGCATTCTAGTTCTAAAAAGCTGACTGGATATGGTTTACCTTAGGAACCATGCAGGAATACCAGTCTTGCATGATTCTACATGCAGTAAAAACAACTGTAGCCCTACCTAGGTCCTGAAAAGTGGAGTTCCCATTTATGGTTTTTTTAATGTGCACCGTAAAAATTTGGAAACTTAAAATTTTTTTCATAAAGGTTTTATTCATTTGAGGGTGTGGGCGGGGACAGAGGGAAAGGGAGAGGCTGAGCAGTGAGTCTGATGTATCCCAGGATCCCCAGATCACGACCTGAACGGAAGGCAGACTCTTAGCCCACTGAGCCACACAGGTGCCCCCCAAATTTAGAAACAAATTAACAAAATACGTCTTTTTAAACAGTTTTATATCCTGCATTTTAGGAAGAAAATCTGTTATTTTGCATTGAAAAATAGTTCTGCAAGGTTTGTAGGAAAAACAGCAAACTTCCTACCCTATCTGCCCTTCCCCATTTTCCCTGCTTCACAGTATTCCCTTTCAGGTGTTGGCTGGTCAGTTTAGTTTGCCATCAGGTCTCAATTTAAACATGTGCATGGGTAGTGATGTTTGCATTGTAGGCATTACTGTTTGACTTTTCTCCCTCCTGCCCACCATGCCTGTACTCCCCATCCCCCCCATCTCTTCCTGATATATTCTAGTTAGATCATATATTTAGTGTTTGCATGATTATGATGATACTTAAATCACAGCTGAGCCACATAGTGGATGAAGTTACCACAGAGCTTTCATTTCCGTAGAATTAATATTCCTCTCACATTTTTATTAGTGATTAGCTTAGTTTTCCGGCCACTTGTCACTAATTCAACCCAAATTCTGTAAGGACATTAACACATTATCTATTTTACCAATTTCTTGACCAGCCCTATCTGGATTGGCTCTCCCTTGTGCTTAACATATTGCTGTCATCGTGGGCTCTCCCCTGCTGAGTCTTCTGTTTGTGTCCCTTCCTCCCCTTGTTTTATTACCTCATTCTGGTAGACTGGCTTGCAGTAGAAGGGATGTATGGAAAGTAGTTTAAGGGAATCGCATGTCTGAAAAATGTCCCATTCTCTCATACTTGATCAGGTGTGAAATTCCAGTTTGGAATTCATTTTCCTTTACAATTTTGAAGGCATTGTTACTTTTCACTTACCATCTAGTGTTGCTGTTAGAGGAGTCAAGCCATTCCGAGTTCTGATTCTTTGTATGTGACTCTCACTTCTGCCACTGGAGTTCTGAAATTTCATGGTGGCATACCTTGGTGAAGGTCCATTTCCATGTGTTGTGCCAGGCCGTTGAACCCTTTCAGAAGGGACTCTGGTCCTTCACTTCTCGGAAACCCTCTTGAATTTGTTTTTAATGATTTCCTTCCTTTAGTTTTCTGGCTTTTCTTTCTGGAATTCCTGTTCTTCAGATACTGGATCTCTTGGATTTATCTCTGCGTTTCCTATTTTTTCTGCCCCTACCACCTCCCATTTTCCTGGGGTTTTTTGGTTTCTTGTTTTTTTTTTTTTTTTTTTTTTTTCTTGTTGTTGTTGTTTTTCTCCCCTGGATCTCCTTTATGGAAGATTACCCATTGATTCTCTAACTATTTTTTTTTTAAGTTAGGACCTCATTCCATGATTGCAATATCTTATCTCTGAGAACATTGATATGCTTTGTCAAAGCTTTCATCTCCCTGTGTGATGTTTTCTTTAACTTTTTTTGTTTTGCTTTTAGTCTTTAATGTTATGAAAGTCTTTTCATGTTATACTTAGCTGCCTGGCAATCATTGGTTGTCTGCTTGTATTTACAGGTGGGATATTAAGAATAATAGGTGTTTATAAGATGAACTGATTGAACTTTTTTTGGCAAATCACTAATGTCCATACTACTTTTAGGACTTTGCTCTTGGACTGGTCAGGTTTCCTGGAATAAACTTCCAGTCTCATGTCTGGAGGGTTTACCTTGAACTATTGCTGGCCCTGTGGGAGCTCATGAAGGAAGAGGGCTAGAGAGCTTCAGCATTCTAGTATGCCCAGATTCACTTGTCTTCTGGGTCTCTGAGAAGACTTACTACTCCAGAAACCTCCTTGCTCTAGAGAAAAAGCTTCTAACTTTTTGCCAAGGTTGGGGAGGAGCAGTCTCAAGATCACATGGAGGTCTGAATTTTTTTTTTTTTTTTAGGATTTATTTATTTATCAGAGAGAGTACAGGCGAGTACACAAGCAGGGGGAGTGGCAGGCAGAGGGAGAAGTAGGCTCCTCACTGAGCAAGGCTGTGAGACTCCATCCCAGGACCCTGGGATCATGACCTGAGACAAAGGCAGATGCTTAATCAACTAAGCCACCCCGGGATCCCTGGAGGTCTGAATATTGATGCACATTCTCTCAAAAAACATATTTTTGACAACATGAAATCAGGGAGATAAATCATAAGAGACTTTTAATCATAGGAAACAAATTGAGGGTTGCTGGAGGGGAGGGGTTTGCGGGAAGGGGTAACTGGGTGATGGACATTAAGGAGGGCAAGTGATGTAATGAGCACTGGGTACTATATAAGACTGATGAATCACTGACTTCTACTTCTGAAACTAATAATACATTATACGTTAATTGAATTTAAATAAAATATAAAAAATATTTTGTTTGAAAATATCTTAGTCTAGGCATGCCTGGGTGGCTCAGTCAGTTAAGCATCTGCTTTCAGCTCAGATCGTGATCCCAGGGTCCCTGGATTTAGCCTGCTTGTCTCTCTGCTACTCCCTTCCTCCAGTTCTGCTCTCTCTTGCTATCTCTCTCCCTATTAAATAAATAAAATATATATATATATATATATATTTTTAAAGACTTTATTTATTTGACAGACAGATC